CTTATTGACCATAATATTCCCAAAATTACACCGGTTCTGGGTTTATCTGAGGTGGTCTAAAATATATGAGAGCGTAAATAAGCCGCGTCCCCCCGCCAAGAAAAAAAAAACATAAGAAACGTGGATTAATGAGATGTGTTTTGATAGAAGAAGGAAAAAAAATAATCGCTTACCGATATCCGCGTTCCTTTTCCCTTAAAGGGGACAAATAAAGGGGGAAAAAAAAATAATTAAATAAATAGGTGAATGTTTTTTTCGCGCTGGGTACAACCTGAGCGGTTAATCCCTCTGGAGTGAATAATTAATATTATTTTCTGGAGTGAGCTCGACTCGTTAACAGCCAAGAAAACCCTCAAACCAGGGAAATCTCAAACTAGGAAAGCATCAAAATAGGGAAATATCAAAAAAACAGCCCAAAACCAAAGACAGCAAGGACACAACGCCCTCGGGCACAGCAAAGCCAGGATTTTGGGAGTCAAAGAAGCCAGGAATTGCCACGCGCTATATTAATTAATCTATTTTTCCCCGTACCTGACTCCATCATCACTGTCCCTTCTTAATTGGAACCACCTCCGAGAGCTTCGTCAACCTGGTGGGACAGGAGCGAAGAGCATTAAAACCTGGGGGACAACCAGACCTTAAAAACGCATTTTTTTGAGGGAAAACATGCCTATGGCTGGAATACTTTTGGCTTTTTCCTCCATTTTTCCCCCCCAAAACATTATTTGAGATGTTTTCTGGTCTACGTCCGGACGAACGGGTGGAAGAAGGGATCTGCTGTAGGTGTGAAGAACCTCCACTCGCGTCCAATCACAGAAGGGGTCCGACACCTAATTTCAGTTGTTTGAAGTAGCCTGAGCGTAATTCCTCCTTTATGTCACAAAAATGATTTAATAATTACGTTTATCACTGCTATGGACACCCCGAAAGCAGTCCCGTACGCGGAGGATGTGGCGCTACCACCTCTTTTGGCCGCAAAAAAAAGCGGCTTTTTCAAACTATTTTATTCTATTTCGAGCTTCCCTCCCCTGCTCTGTGACCGCTCTGGTTCTCAACACTGTAGATAATTGATTTCTAGTGTTTCGAATCAATTTTTCGTATTAATTAAAAGAAAACCAGAGGTTTGCCATGGGAGATGGTACAGGCTGGGTGAAAGGACGCAGATTTTTTGTGCCCAGAGAGGGCAGGTGCCACCACAGGCCTTTTTCTTCCTAAAAAAAAGTATCGCTCAAACGGGATGGGGAAAATCATTAAAATTGCATTTTTGGGTTCATAATTCTGCCGATGTCCTGAAAGGAGCTGCAGCCGCGGAAAGGCAAAAAGGAAGAGGCCGAAAACAGGGGTGGGAAAAAGTCATCGGATATATTGGAAAGGAAATTATTGAACGCTTCTCGCGTGCTGTATTAATGTTTTTTCATGAAGCGTAGGTCTCACTAGGAGCTAAATTAGATAAACGCTGTTATAAGGATCTAAATTTATAGAGAAAGAGATAAACAGAGTGAGGAAAGCGGCACCAGTTATTTCTCTACGATATTTTCCTAAAAAAGGGGTGAAAAAAAAAAAAAAAATTCATTCTTTTAATCCTTTTCTTGGGGTTTTTTTTGTTTGTTTTGGGGTTTTTTTCTTTTTTTTTTTTTTTTTTTTTCCCAGTATCGTCAGATTTACGTAGATAAAATAAAAGATCATTTCGTTCCGGGCTTCTTCCAGCCCTCAGGAACGGATCGCGTTTCTTCTGCTTTCTAAATGCATCTCCCGACCTCAGAGCCGGACCGACACGTGGGAATAGGACACCTACAAATTATACTTTCCTTCCAGAAATAAAAATAATAATAATAATAATTAAAAAAAAAAATAATGATGAAGACTTACCAAGACCTGCAGTTGATTTTTCCCTAATCGGGGCCGTTTTGGGGCACGGCGGGCGGCGATGGGGATTGTCCGTGCCGGAGATTTTTGGCAGGTCCTGGGGAAAAATGATACCCCACAGTCGCCGGAGGGTTCGTGCGTCTGCTGGGAGAGGCGGCACCTCTATATAGTCACGGCAGGAACGGGATCCTCCAAGAAGATCCGAGCCGGTGGCATCGGGCCAACCTCCGGAGGTGCCAACATCTCCCACGGGTTGTTTAGAGGATGGGGTAGCTGTTGGTGGGGGGTGGTGTCGAGGATTTTGGCTGGGCGGTGATCCCGAGGAGGTCCTGTTTGGGCAGAAATCTTCCCTTTCCGAAGCGGCATCGATCCCCGCTTTGATTTATCCTAAAATAAGGAGAGATGTGGGGAAAAAAAAACCCCAAACCAAATGCTTGGACTTTTCTCCTCCTTTTCTCTTTCCTGCTGCTCACCAGGGTGAAGTGAGAGAGAAGGAGAGAGGGGGAAACTCCTCCCCGCGGTCGGGATTTCACATCGCTTTGGGTTATTTTAAAACAAATACTAAAAAAAAATAAAAAAAAACAGCTCATGAAATGCATCTAGCTCAGTCTCCCCCTCCTATATCTCAGCTTGCTTCAAAGAGAACTCTCCCATTGTTGCCAAAACTCTCAATTTGGTTAACGAAGGCAAACGAGGCATTTCCAGGCCATTATGACCCAAATGTCTAAATAGGAAGGAGCGTTCTGGGCTTGGCTTCAGCCGAGCGGTATTTCCCACCCCAAAAATGCTGAGAAAATGGGCTGAAGCCAAAAAAAAAAATCCACCAAAACTCACTCAGGTGCTCGAAATAGATGTCAGTTCTTGAACCCAAAGGCGGTATCTTTGCCGGGAGTTCTCTCTGTGAGACACGCAAGCCGGCAGCTCCATTTCCAAAACCTGAAAATTAAGGATTAGAAGGAGACGTGAACAACGTGTGACATTCAGAGGGACCTCCTTGAGCCCCAAAGTCCACTGGGCTGAGGGAGAAGGCATTTGCGATGATGCAAAGAAGGGAAAAGTTGGTGAGTTCTGCCCTGGAATAAAGGGAGAGCCCTGATTTCGAGCTGCGAAAAAGCACAGGAGATGTTGGGGATGGGAGAAGGTGAAGGTTAAAGCTGAGGATGAGACCTGTCGTAAACATCGGCCACTAAACCCTCTGGATTTGCAAGAGGAAAAAGAAAAAAACAAATGTTGCCACGGGGTAAAGAGAGCGAAGGCGGTTGCCTCAGGGAAACCTGAGGGAGGGAGAAGGGGATCACAGCCAAGGAGATACCGGATTTTTTTCTTTGGCAGCGGAGGTCTGGCGTTTGGAGAAGATAAAATAACCGTCGCGCTCCTGCTCCGACACCTCGCTTTGAAGAAATTGCTCCCCAAAGCCCTGTCCCTTTTCTAAGCCATTTCCTCACCCACCTGGACTGTAAAACACGGAGGAACTTAAAATCGCTTTAGTTCCTTAACCCTCTGCCCCACCACCAGCCCCCCAAGGGCCCCCTGTCCCCCAAAACTCCTCTGCCAGACCCCCCAAGGCCCTCCCTGTCCCCCAAACC